CTCAGGAAGGACTCCGAAGGCCCTGTCTAGGGGTGAACGCGGTGGTTCAGGGGAGAAAGATGGAGAGCAGGTCCCACCCCTCTCATCCTGCACGAAATGAAAATGTCCCAACGGTCACCTGACTTGTGCTCAAGGACCGCACTTGGGCGTCCACTATGAGTTTCCGATGTAACGGACACAGCCCAGCGGGGAAAGTAGGGCTGTCTAGTACCAGGTAGACGCTGGCCGTGTTCACAGAGCCCGAATCCCATTTTACATCTCTGTCCTTGTCTAAACACGTGTGATGACTTGTGCACAAGAAAACCCCCCACAAAAAAAGGTAGTAAGGGGAGTTCACTGGCCCAGCCATAAAAAACTCGCCCATCACCTGGAACCACTCTTCGAAAAGAGCAAACAGCGTATGTAAGTAAGTTTGCTCAGTTCCTTTTCCTACGGAAAAGGCTGGGCGTGTTGAACTGAAACCTGTGTTGACGCCGCAGACGGCAGTCTCTGTGTGCGCCCCGAGCCCGGAGGAGTTACCTGCTTTCCAGTGGGACATTACTGCCAAGGACCCAGCTGTCCTGCAGCTGGACGGACTCGGGTGTGGTTTGCAGCTCGGCGGGCAGCGCAGCCGGCGGGGCCGGACTCTGGTTCCTCCTGTTCGTCAGGGAGTTTCTGTTGAGGGAGGTGATGGACGGGTGGTGCTGGGCCGCGTGCTGCTTGTGGGGCGGGGGCAGCGGCTGCAGGGTGGACTGGCCTTGGCTGTTGGCAGGTTGCTCTGAAAATGGAAAAGGACACTCGTTACCTATGTGTCCGCGGACAGCCACACCGACACGCTGCCCGTTGCTCGGGATCCGCTGCGTGAATTAGAATGAAAACCTGCCTATGAATCCATAACCTAATACATTTGCATATTATTCTATTAAGTGGGTGTTCGGCGACATTCTCTAAGAGTGGCTTTACCCTTGATACACAGAGTTCTAATTAATATACAACAGATGGCAAAATTGCTTTTGGTTCTAATTTGCTTCAGACTTTTTTTTTTCATCTGGTTTTATTAACACCTACAGAAAACATATCCGACAGCTCCCCTAATGCGCCTTTTGATTCCAGCCTTATTTAAACAAACCAACCCTGAAATTAAATGGGTAGTTTCGGTAGAACACAAAGGTTTGCGAAGTGCGTATAATCTCTATAATTATTTGATGGCGTTTTTTAGAGAGTTATTTAACCGCAATAAATTATGCCAAGCTCGCTGCTCGACAGCGGCAGATCTGCTTTAGTGCGTCCCGGGCGCGGCAGGTCTGCGCCGTGATCCGCTCGGAGACGCCGAGGGTTCTTCAGCAGAAGGTCACTCTGGGAAGCAGATGCTGTTTCATGGATATTTAACAGAATCACATCTGACGACCACGTCAGAACACTCGCAGACTTAATGACCGTTACACTCATTGGAACACACAACAGACTTGCCAATTTCACGGCGGGACCATGGCAGAACGGCGTGCGGAGTCAGTCCTAGGTGACCAGAGTGGGGTGTGCCCCTATGTCAGTGGTACAAAAATTTTGTCCTAAAGCAGAATCAGGAAAGATCCAGAAAACTTCCAAATATAAATACAATGTTAGGTTGTAACCAGAAAAGGGTCCCCTAAAGCTAAGATGCCGTAAGTGAAAGTTTACAGATTCTGAGCCATACTTTTCAACCCCATTACCTACCCAGCTTTGGAAATGCCAGAATTCACAAAGACTACATTTTAGCAAGCAGACAGAGGACTCCTTCATTTCATGCTAAACTTATTATGGTTCCACACACAAAGATGTCAATTTTTTACTAAATGTAGTTCAAAGGGCAATATAATTTTAAAGTGATGTATTAAACCATGTTATTAATATAAATGCACATATTAAAAGGGAATAGGAAACATAGGGACTATCTTTCATCTACAATGTGAACGCCAGCAGTGATGAAGCCAAATTAGACAGCCAAGCATTATAATTCTGGTCACATGAAATGAATACATGATATATAATAGTCTAAATATATATTACTAAACCTCTTTACAGGGGACACCAATTAAAATAAGCCCTCCCCTAGCATATAATATCAGTCATTACTGTGTGCTCCGATTGGTCTCAAATAATTCATTTCACATCATTTAACAAGTAATAATTTCTTACTCTTGAAGTGAGGGCCAGAGATATCACCTAAATACACGAAAAAAGCAGCTTCCTCGCCCAGTCTCTCTTCGTGAAGATCCCTATACTAGACACGAGAGAAATCTGGCCCAGTACATTGCTTTGGTGCTCATGAAAAATTATGTGTCTAAACCTCAGTTAAATTGAAATTAGCCTTTGGGGGAAACGGCAGAGTTAAAATAGCACATAGTTTAACGGTGTTAGAAAAAATGAAACTAACAGTTTAAAATTCATAGAAGATTTATCGCTCAGGTACACAGAGTAATTAACTAGCTCTGCCGCCCCAGCATCCGTGCATGTGTGTGTCGTTAAGGGACATTTCAAGCTGCTTGTTGGATGACAGAATAAGCTACAGTTACCGGGGCCTAGACCAGGTTGGTGTCAATGGAATGGAAACAGGGAAAAGTACTAAAATTGTGTCTAAAAAGAAGAAGAGGGTTGGGTCAGATGACTCCCGTGTTTTTAAGCATGGTGCTATGAAAGAGTGGTACTATAAAATACATAATGAATTCTATATCTCATATATAGAATTATAATAATTTATTCCATATAATTCTATATTACATATATATTAGAGGCCTGATGCAAGAAATTCGTGCAAGGGCTTGGCCCTCACAGTCGTGGCTTTGTCCGAAAGGTTGTCTAGAAGGTCGTTTGGCTGTCTGGTCTAATTAGCATGTTATGCTTTTATTATTATAGATGATCTACAGGGTGTCCCAAAAATGTATACACACTTTAACAGCTTACAGGTTAATTTTGAAAATGAAATGTATTTTAATAAACACTGCCTTTTAATTATTCAAAATGTGTATATGCATTTTGGGGGTATACTCTATGTAGAATAAATTATAAATAAGGTATTACACTACATAAAGGAAAGAGCTGTGTAGCAGCGGTCACAATGCCACATTAATTTCTAACTCTGTCAGCATCATGACAGGGGGCCTCAGTTTACTCATCTGTAAGATGGAAGTAACACTGCCCCATTGAGCTATTCGTGCAATCTAAGGATTCAATGACATACACTCATTCATTCATTGATTCACCCAGCCATCCTGCATACATACATCAGGTCTCTATGTTTCAAGGATATGCTGTTCATAACAGGTGAAAGCACTGTGTCGATGGGAAGGCATTGTGAATGTTCAGATGGTTATTGAAAATGAAATGATTTTAAGATAGATTATCATCATCAAATATTTCAGCAGGCTGAACTCAAGATTCTAAATCTTAAAGCAAATAAAAAGATAAACAGCAAGAAAAAGCTTCCATGTAAGGTTTCAAAAATAGCGCCACTGTGGGCTCCTCTAGGTTCCCTCGTTCATTCGGCACCTATATTGTCTGGGAACGTAGCATGTACAAGGCATCCTGCAAAGACCCACACTCTTTCCAGCTGCGTGAACAGGCTATTTCAGCTCAGTGTGTCCTGTCTGCTGGGTCCTCGACTACATAATCAGGAGACCTACCAGCAAAACAAATCCAGATAATAAAAGCGCGGGACAATCTAAAATTTGATGGAACAGAGTAAGGGCAGCGTCTGAGTGGAGGAGCTGAATGGCCAGAAATGTAACTTCTGCAGCAGCCCACAAACAGACGCAAGGCCCGTGGCCTCTGCTGGCGGTCAACGCTACCCTAGAGTTTCGGACTCATTAGGACATAAAACTGGCTGAGTATGTGCTTATCTACACCAACGTATTCAAGACAGAGTAGGTTCACACAGGAGAACAAGTTAAAATAAGACTGAACGTAGCCAAAAAGGAAGACAGAATAACAGAAAACTGAAAGATAAGATAAAGCCAGATGTGAGGTTAGCGGACAACATCCCGGCTGTGTAGTTCTATGTATTTTTAAAGCAGGATACAAATCTGGCTCTAAATTATCTAGTTGTCAAAACAAAGAGAAAAACAAGACCAGTTACATAATTTGGAGTGTTTTTAAGATAAAAGACTTTGCTTAGAAAAGTGTAACTATTACTGGCACTGAGGATGGAGAGAAAATTCTCAAGTCCTCATACGAAGAACAACTGAACACCCAGGGAAAGTTTTATGACCGAGGTTCAACATTGACACGAGGACACAGAAAGCAGAGACTAGCCTGGGAGACCAGCCCTCAGTGTCTAACCCAGGCGGGCAAACCCACACGAGAACAACCTAACCATTAACTGCAGGCTTTGCTGTAAGCTAAGCCATCGACTCAGGCTTTGCGCTGACGTGAGAAGAAAACTGGGATGCAATGGCTGAGTCACAGATGGGACAGACACATCACAGTCACCAGGTTTAATGCTCCCGAAACATAGCTCTCCACATGTCATTTTCCTCCAAATGGCCCCCTAGGGCCTCTGACACCTCCGGTGAACTCTAAAGGTGAGTGGTATACTTGTTCAAAGAGAGCCCCAAACATATTTTTGCAAACGTTTTCCCGTGAATCCTCTTACGTATCTTTGTTCAAGTCAAGCCTGGTGCCCCCACTGCTGCTTAGTTGCTTCTCACCAGAAAGACATGTTCCTTCTTCTTCCTCTACCCAAATCCCATGCATTGCAAACTCTAAGATGACAGCCTTCCGGTTCTCTTCAAGCTGAGGTCAGTGATCGCTCCTCTGACACTTATTTTATTTTTGTTACTCTTCACCCGGGCATATTTTTCCATTGATATTTGGAGAGAGTGGAAGGGAGAGGGAGAGACAGAGATAAACACTGATGTGAGAGACACATCAATTGGTTGCCTCCTGCATGCACCCTGACCAGGGCCAGGGAACCTGCAATCAAGGTACGGTGCCTTTGACCGGAATCTAACCCGGGACCCTTCAGTCCACAGGCCGACGCTCTATCCACTGGACAAAACCGGCGAGGGCTCTGAGATTCACTTTAGCTGTCCCTTTTTCTCTTGGCTCTCTCCACTTTCCCCTCGGTATTACAACTCATCTTAGGGGTCACAAGTCCCCTGCTAGAGTTTCCATGGGCCAGGTTCACATCCACTTCACTTCAGAACCCCCTAAAGACCACAAAGGATAAAATACTCAATAAATTATTTGTTGAGTGAAGGGTGATTTGTGAAGAAGTCAATGAAGAGAGGCTGAACTGGTGAAAATTGGAGCCTGCCCATACTGTCTTTATTATTTTTTTAAATATATTTTATTGATTTTTTACAGAGAGGAAGGGAGAGAGATAGATAGTTAGAAACATCGATGAGAGAGAA